GGGATCTTGCTCGTACCTCGCACCATCAGCCGATGACTCTCGGATTGTGTAGGGTGTACCTCACTCCCCTCACCCCCCAATTCAACCAAACGAGCACTGGCTTTCTTCTCTCCAGTTCTAGAGTGCTTTGGTTACCGCCTCGAACAGCTTCACGCAGCCGGCTTTCTCACACATGTGAAAGCTGGTGGCGTCCGGGTCCGGTGGTTCATGGGCGAATTTAAAATCTTTGGAATTCCTGTACTCAAATCCACAGCCGGTAGAAAAGGCATCCTCTACAGCATGAAAGGTCTTGCTGTTGTCGTTGGTCACAAATTTGGGGAGGAACTTCCTGGACAGTTCCTCCGTCCACTTTTCGTTCATCAGCACTGACTTCTTTCTCAGATCTTCCAAGATCTGTTCAATCTCATTCTGGGTCTGTTTGGTGCTGAGCAGGATCTGGGTACTTTGTGTTTCCAGTGCGTTTTCTATTGCCCTCACCATCTTTCTCGACTTGGGGTGATCGGCTGGCATCTGAAGGGCCTTGGCTGAATGCGTCATGATCTCTCCCACTGACATGGTTGAGGCCAGCCGCTGGTCGGAGTTCTCCAAGGGGACTTCACGTAAGTACCTCAGAATGGCCTCGCTCCCCCCATCGGCAGAAGAGCTGGATCTTGTAGAACTCGATGCCCTTTCGGGCCATGAATTGTGATCCCCCGTGACATTCTGCGCCTCCTCTTCGGTGAGTCCCATCATGACGGCCACACGACGGAATGCTTTCACCATTCCCTGTTTTGTAGGTGGCTTCTTAGGCTTATCGGTGACCAAGAGAGGATCTTCGTCTTGAAGTCTTGATGGCCGTTCTCCAGGGCGGCTTGTAGCAACCTCCTTGCAGCAGCCACTGGGCATAGACTTGGCAGGGTTTCGCACAGGCACCCTTGCTTCCGAAGAGCTCCTTCTTTTTTGGAGTCGGTCTTCGTGGCCGGCAAATACAGGGACACCACCCTGCATCCTGGGCCCGACTCTTCCACTTGAACATGTTTCACCTTCCTCAAGGCTGCTTCCATCTCTCTGCAAGCGAAGAGCGCGAAGAGAATCACCATGTCGACCGTCTTCCTTGGACCATCGTCCACTGGTTCCACCTCCTTCAATCCTTCCAACTGCCTCAAGTCCGACGCTGGGCACTGTTTGTCTGGCCCAATGCCTCGAATACATGACCTGATCGCATCTTTGATGGCCAGCGTGAGATCATCTGCCCAGGGGTGGCTCTGTATCACGTGCTCCCTCTTCAAGGCCGCAAAGTACATGGCTGCCGACCTGTATTGCCCTACCTTCAACAAAGCACCGGCCATATCTATAGTTTGCACCCTCAAAGGAAAGGGTTCCACGTCCAGGCTCTTGGCTCGATGCACCCACCACTGGACCCTGGCCTTGTGAGTGGCCTGATTCGAAGCTGCGAACTTGTCGTTCTGGAACTCCTCCATCGCCTTCTTGAATTCTTCTGGGTCTTCAGCCACCTCCTGAGCTCTTGCCTTGCTGCCCGTTGCATACGGTTTCACTGTGGGCTCTGTCTTCATGAACGGGGTGCCTGGGGCTGCTTATGCTGATGTGTTTGGGCTTGTCCTCAAAGCCAAAGGTTTCAGCAGCCTGCGTGGCTTCTTTCCCCTTCTTCTGGTCCACCGATTCCTTGAGCACGAACAGAGGGAGGCCCCTCCTCATGAGGGCCTGAACATTGTCATCACTGTAGAGCTTCGGTAGCTTTGCAGGAGGTTCCTCTTTGTTGCTATCCTCCTCTGGGCCTTCCGACTCCTCCTCAACCTCCTGGTGGACCACCTGCCACAAGGCATCCGACATTTGCCCCGTGTCACCTGGGACAGTGTTACCAAACTGGCAGTCATAGATTGCTTCACCAAGGGCCTGTTCCAGGTCATCTCCCCTCTACACGGGCGGGAGGGTTCTCGTATGGCATCCGGGATGGTACGGACCAGCGTCACACAGCTGACAACTCATAGCAGAGCTGACCTCTACCTGTGTGTTGCATGTAATGCATGTGACATGGTTCACAAGACGACTTCCGCTCATGACATGGCTCCGTTCGGACTTGGTGAGCTCTCCTGAGCTCGTTGACTGCATCTGCAGTCCCGGCCACTTGGCCTCCGCGGCCTCCCTGGGGAGGTCAGATGCAAGCCTCCTCATGCATGAAATAGCTAGCGGAAAAAGCGAACAATCACCAAATCAAAGAGTCAAAGTGAACCCAGCACAAAACGACTCGACAACACAGCAGACAGTCTCTTGCTTGTGTGTCCCACAAAGCACATGATCATGCCATGCGCTCCCTGCAATCCCTCACTCTCCCAGGTATCTCCCTGGCGCACTTGCCGTGCCCGACTCGGCAACGTAGCAGCCTCGCACACGGGCGACAATCTCACATGCTGATCTCATGATACGAGCAACGAAAACTCGGCTGGTTTCACCCTCCCTCCCCGGTCTCCCAAACTCGCTTGGCCACTTCCCCTCCCTCACTGCTTTTCCCACTTCTCATGCCACAGCTCAGGTGCATGCTCCACCCTCGGCAGGTGAGAAAGCTCTCTGGGCATCTGGCCCCGGGAGAGGGCATCAGCCCATTCGTTCTGACTGCTCTCCTCATTCAACAAAGGCGACTTAGCCGCCCTCTTCACCAGCGCTGCCAGGATTCCCTGTGCATCACCGCGGATCCTGATGAAGCCCTGTTCATTGGCTCTGACCCACGTCCACAAGCATCTCAACATCATGTAAGCCTCCCACAAAGCTTGGGACCCGGGTTCACCTATGACCGCGCCCGGCTTCTTTGCTCAGCTGCAGTCCAGCTAATCGCGAAAACCTCAACAGGTTGGCCTGCTCTCAACTTCACTGCCCCGCCTCCACCAAGAAGTCCAGCCTGCATTGGTGCCTGCTGTGAGCGTAAACTTGGAGCCTTCTGGCCCCCCAGCTCCATAGGAAGCGCTTGATCCATCGAAGGGCAGGTTCGATTTGCCTGTGGTACACTTGCCTCTGACCTTGCAATTTTCCCGGATTGAAGCCAGCGCCGCGTACAGCATTCTGACGAAGGGCTTAAGCTGGGGGATGAAGCCAGCCGCCCACGACATCTTGCCTGTGAACTGCTGTAGTGGTTTGTGTCCCACTAAAGGCTTCGTGTCGAGTCGCTCAAGCAGTCCTCTCCACTCCTCAAGCTTTACGGCTGTCACCATGACCTTGACAAACCCTTCGCTATCATTGATCACCAGCTTAGCCCCTATCCACTCGGCTTCTATTCCAAGAGCACCCTTGGTCCAGGCCACCTTCAAGCCCAATGCAAGCCACCACAACAAAACAATGTTGAAGATACTGTTCAATTCTGCCTCTGTGCCTCTTGCAACAATCAACGGATCATCAACAAAAATCTGTAAACGACAACGGCTCGGGTGGAACAATGCTTGTGTGGATCGTGCAATCAATGCCGCGACCCTGCCCCAGACCAACGGCCCTGTTTTGACTCCAAACAACACTGTTCTGTAAACAAAGTATCCTCCCAAGGCCCTGCCCGAAAGATACTTGTACTCATTCTCCCTGACTGTCAAATGTTTGAACGCGTCAGAGAAGTCCAAGCTCATGAACCTGACTCTTTCGTTGGGTGTCCTCGTCTCCAAGAGATGCAACGCGTCCTCCATGGCATCTTTCAGCCTGGGCAACACCAGCCTCTCCTTCAAAGAGATATGGCTGTTGACCTGACTTCGCCTCAAATCGTGCACCAATCGGCCCTTCACTGTTCCACCCAGCCTGACTTTCGCTATGTAGCCAATTGCGGACGGATTGGCCACCAGCTCAGTCTTGTCTTCAGCCCAATGCACGAATCCCTTGTCCACCTCCTTTTGGAACAAGGTGTCTGCGGCCTCGCTCTCCTCCTCATAGGACCTGTAGTTGTTCAGTGCACCTTCCAACTGCCAGCGAGTCTAACTTGTCACCTTCTTGCCAAAGATCATCTTCATCCACCCTCGGAAACACTCCTCCCTCCGGGATTTCGTTGACGATCCCCAGCGGCGTTCCTTTTCTCGGCCAACTCGCTGCCTCGCTGTCAGGATCTTCGCTCAAGTGAACCAGTCTTTCCAGCAATGCCCCCCCAGAGGCCACGCTCATGGGAGGCGCAGCCATAGACACAACTCACCTTCGCTCTCACCCAGGCCAGTTCGTGTTCAGGCAACTCTCCACATCACTGCCCACCCACGAAGTAGGATTGCTGAGCTCCGACAACTGGCCCAAACACGATTGTAACACTCTCCATCCAATGCTTCCGACTTGCTTCCACTTTGGCAACTTTTGCACTGAATGCCACGGATTGCGTAGCCCCCCCAATGCACAACTCGTTCTCCCTCTCGACTTGTGCTTTCTTGGAAAAGAGGTCCTTCACCTTGGCATCCTCTTTGAACCACAATTTCCAGCTGTCCGGTCGTTGTTTCACAACTTCAAGCTCTCTGGCATAAGCCTTTGCTAACTCAATGCAAAGGCCTTGGGGCTATTCTGCAGCTAAGGAGGTCTTGAAGACTTTGTTGCTGTGGGAGCCTAGGGTGAAGCCTATCAACGGTTCGTGTCGGTGTTCCGCCTTTCCTGGGCACCTCTTCCACTACCTTCATGAATCCAGCGTTGCTAAGCCATCCTGTAGGTCTGACATACTCCCCCATGAAGGCACATTGATCTCCCTTGAAGAGTCTCACCCCCTCCAATTGCAGCAGCCGCTTGACTGGTCCATACATCCAGATGTATGAGCTCTATGGGTTTTCCATCGAGAACCATCCACCCACCTTCCATTGCAGGAGTGAAAGTTGAGCCGCTCTCGAAGCCAAGAGGTTGGCCTCTTTGACCCTCCATGACTTTGGTTCCAAACCCGCAGGGTGTTGTACAGATCTAAGCTGTCTGGCCTTTGCAAACCTATCCCTTCTCCTTGCCTTCGAAAACGTTTTGCATGGCGGGGCAGTGTGCAACCATCGAACTCTCTTCTTTTTGATTGCTGTCTTGAGCTGTTTGAATGTTGAATTGCATAAAAGGTCTGTACCCACTGCAATGCAGCCCCCAACTCTGATTTCACCAGGCTCAAACACAGGGATGTTCAATCTGCTGACAGCCTGTGAGCCCTGCTTCACCAGCGAAGAGCTCCATAAAGCAGTGGTCATGTGAAACAGCGCACTCCTCAATCTTCTGTGGAGGTGAAGTTCTTGCACGCTTGCTTGCATTGAATTCGACACTGTCTGCCCTCTGTTTCAGCCGCTCCCGCAACAAAGCCAACCTCCTCTCGACGTCGTCCTCAGTTGCCTGGGGCACTGACGGGCTCGGTAGTCACATGTGCTTCGGCCTCTTCGAAGGGCCCCCTCCTTTGCTCTTGCCCTTCCCTTTGCTCTTCTCCTTCTTGTCCGGTGTCCAGCCTGGGCTGTGTGGGCAATCAATCGTCTTGTGGGGTGCCCTGCACCATTCACAAATGTGAGCAAATCCTTTGTCACAATGATCATTCGAACACCCATCTGCAGCCCTGGACCAAGCGTAACAGATGTTGATCCCAGCCTTGCTTCTGAAGTACCTGCCGTCCTTCCGCTGAGGATCAAAGGATGATGCATTGTTCGTCTTCTTCTTGGGTTGTGGCTTCATCCAACTCTGATCATCCGATGCACTTGGTGCTGGGGTGGCCTGTCTGGCACTGACCTTGAGGAATTCATCACGTACAACATTGCTGGCTTCTCAAATTCCCTTGCCCAAAGCTCGGAATGTGAAGCGCTGGCTCGAATCACTGAATTTGAGGGTTGTTCAGGCACAAAGGCCGACCATGCAGGATGCGTGGAGTGGAATGCTTCCTGCTTCCTCTTCTCCTGGGACCAAAACTCGGTCCTGCACCTGATGTCTGCTTGAGCTGCCAAATGCCATACGTCTGGATGCTGCAAAACACGGGTCCGAAATTCTGAGGCGTACCGGTCTAGGGATGCCGCGGTGGCCAGCTGTAGCATGAGTGCTGCTGTACGAAAAATCCTCCACGATTCCTCCCAAGCATCTAAATTTGCAGCTCCTGGCAATTCGATTGCTTTCCATTGCCCATCTCGCCACTGCTGGGATACGAACCTCATGGCCCGAGCAATTCCATCAGGTCCCCACACTCCCATGTCTACAAAGGGTGGTTGTCCGGATTGCAACTTGTGATACAAACAACTCAATTGACCATCCGTCACCTCCTCTTCTCGAGTGGATTGTCACCTTCGGTAACAACAAACTGCGACCTCATCTTCTGGAGCACGGTGTTTGAAAGCATCTCAACTTCAAAATCAACACCTTGGTCAATAATCTGACTCATCTTCAACTTGAGCTTCGTCCCACTTGAGCCCGTAGCCACTCCTCTCCGCTAGCAGGCGTCTCCGGTGTGTGGGTGGTTGAAGCTGCAAACAATGAAGGTGCGCCATACTTGACCCTGATAGCACTCAACACCAAGCGCCACTGTGCCTTCTCTGTTTCAAACAGCCGGCGATCCCCCCTGGTGGCATTGCCTAATGCGGCTTCGAAAACCTCGATGGGGATCACAGCCAAAACAGGCAGGGCGCTCAGCTCCGGATCGCCTACTTGTCTGGTGACTGCTCGCACCAAGCCGGCCTCCAGACCACCCCAAGTCGCTGCGTCACGAAGGCTCGTCCAGGAGTCTAGGGTGGCCCGGTCCGGCAAAAGCCCATCCATGGCACCAACCCCCCACCTATCTTCAATGGGGGGTCTGGGTCCCAAATTGGCTTGAGCCAAAATGGTACCCAGACAAATCTAAACCCACCCAAACCACCCTCAAGGTTTATCACCACTTCTTGTTACTGCGGCCATGCTGGCCTTCCCAACAACAACAACAACAACAACAACTCCATGGTGGGCCCGGAAGCCTCGCCAATTCGTGCACTCCTTGATCTGAGAGTCACGAATCCTCCGAAGCTTGCTGATTTCTTCTCATCTTTTCCGTTGCGAGGATCCATGAATCAAAGAGAATCCGAGGTCAAGCACTGGGGGGGCAAGATATGGTCTAACTAGACTTCTACCAGCACCCGACTCTACAGGTCACCACTGGAGACCTGAGACAGGGCCCTTCCCAACCCTCCATGTCGGAGACCTGTTGGGTGCTGCTGGGGTTGTTCAATATCATCACCCAACTCTTGGATTTGCTCAAGGAACTGGGAAAACTAAAAAAAAGAACAGAATAGGAATTTATATGCCAGCACCTTCCAACAGGTCTCCTTTGGAGGGTTGTTAGGCCCTAACAGGTCTCAATTGGTGACCTGTTGGAGGTGCTGGTAATTGAATTTAACCATGGGAAAACTTTATCATATCACCTTAAGCAAAACCAGGCAAGACCTGTTGGCCAAGCTCTAGATGCTCTAGATACACCACCCAAACTGCTGGTGCGGTGCTTCCAGTGATGTTGGCCATCCGGCGCCTTGGCGCAGGTGCCACCGGCCGATTCCATGGCGCTTCCCGAGGAATGCTTGTAGGTGCTCACCTGGCGCTCGTGGAGCCTTCGTGGGTCGCTCCGTAGCTCTGCCGTTGGTGTTGGGCGGGGCGGGTGAAGTTGGGAGGTTCAATGATGGGACCCGAAGCCAAGTGAAGTCCAAATCTCCAGGGTGAAGTTGGGAGGTGAACACAAGCAGAAACCGAGCCTCGGAAGATGATCCCACTGATCGAAGCTGCTGTGGGTTGTGCTTCATGAATTGCTATGGATGATCAGCACAAGCAGCGTGATTTCGAACCCTTGACAGGAGATGAGATGACAAACCTTCAGGCACCCGGAACCTGTGCTTCGAAAGACGAAGGAAGGAACTTGGGAACATCACATCCTCGTGGCTAGGAAGTCGCACAGCTCGGTGCTCGGAAGTTGCCCAGCTACCTTGTTCAGTCCAATCTGATCAGCCTTAGGACTTTTCTGAAGCAGTTTAATTTTTACCAAAGCATCACGCTGACTTCAACCCAAGTCAGGCTATAGTTTATTAGCACCTCTACTGTATAGTTTATGAGTCAATGTTCAAATGTACTACAGTATAATTAATACAAGCATCATGCTCACACTCCGATGTTTGTTCAATTGGAGAAACCAAAGAGACCTGGCAAAACGATCACCCGCTTCTTCCTGCCCCCTCCCTCACCATCCTCACCCCACCTAACCCCCGCATTCCACGAAACCACCAGAACCCCCCCGGCCTCACCCGGCTTGCGCCGCACGGAGGCCGTCGTCGCTGGCGCCTCGGGCAGCTGACCGTGGAGGTCCTCGCGGACGCGGAGCACCGCGTTGCACTTCAAGCAATGCGCCTCGGAGCGCTCCGCTGGCGGAGCTGGCGGAGCACGGTGAGACGAGAACGATGAGACATGGACGGCAGGTTTGGAGGGTTTGGAGAAGTGGATGGAGCCGTAGGATGCATCTTTTTCCAGGGTCACTCTTCTTTTCATCCAAAAAAATATCATTGTCCATCATCGTCTTCACACTTTCCGTGTCGCCACGCGCCTGGTCGTTCAACCACTGTGGCACTGAGCTATATCCGCAAACCTGGCATTCCATCTTCACCCGCTCCGCTGCTGCAGTCTCCAGTCCATCAGGCAGCTCCAGTCCACCAGGCAGCTCCGTTGCCTCCACCAGCTGAGGCTCCGCCGCGCTCAGCTCAGCTCGAGCGCTCAGCGCGCTCAGCTCGGCGCGGCCGCACTTGGTGCACTTGGCGAACTTGAACATGCCTCAAGAAGCGCTCGGGAAGTGCGGCCGCACTTTCAGAATACGGCAGGTCGACGGTTCAATCCCTGGCATTTCAGCTTGGGGGGGGGCCAATCATATAGCTCACCTTGCGCTGGGCAGGAATGGAGACTCTATCTCAAAGAAAGTCAAAATTCGTTTGCAGTACTTTCCTGGTTGCTTGAAGCCGAGGCTTCTTGAAAATCGAGTGTAAAGGTTCAGCAAGAGAGGAGATGATGTTTCTTGTATAAAACAAGACCTCTGCCTCACTCAAATGCAGTGATTATGAATTGTGAATGGTTGCGATTCGTTGTTTTGCGGGGGGCCTCTGGACCCCCTCATCCGAGTAGTCATTTCTGGCTCCAGGTGCCTAGTGCTCAACATCTGCCACCTTTTGCATGGGGAAAAAAGAACGAGATCCAAACTCTCGCCAAGCGTCACTTCCCGCCCTGAGCACACTCGGCAGCACCACCCGGGTTCGCAGTCACACCAGGACCCTTGGCCAGCTTCCCTTCGGCCAGTTGGCAGTAGTTGCACTTCCTCATGCGCATTTGTAGGAAAACCGGTTTCGCTCTCAGACTTCCTGGCCTTTTTGTGTTGGGTGCCTCTTCTTTTGGCACCAGGTTGCCCAAGGGTCTGAAGAGTATGTATGGGTGTCTGAGTCTGTGCAGCAAAAAGGGGCTTGTTCAGAGCATCGCTTCTTTGGGTGGAACTAGACCTTGCTTTGACACATGAAAGCTGGAGGGCTGTGTCCGCACTGACAGCGCCAACTCCAAAACATCTTTGACATCGAATTTCCGTGGAGCGAATGTCCGGACGACTTCCCTACTGCCGGCCTCGCCAAAAACACCTTCTGCAGCTTGGCTGGACAAGAACAACATGACTAACTTGGCTTCGTGCATGATATGGATTTAGCCTCATTCGCCGATATGATATGGATATGATATGATACATCTGATACAGTTCGCCTCGGTTCCTTCGCCGCGCGTCCCGTACTTCCAGTGATGCACGCCATCGGGCGCTTTGCCGCAGCGGCCACCAGTGGACTCCATCGCGCTGCCAGGCGACTGTTTGTAGGTGCTCACCTGCCGCGCGCACGCGCAAGCGCGTGCGCGCGACCGAGTTCGGTCGCGTTCGGTTCGCGGGTGCCGCGGAAGAAGCGGAAGGATGTTCGGGCAAAGGACGACGGTTCGGGGGTGGCGCGACCCATCCCCACCGAACAACCTGCAACTGCACCAAAAAACGTGGTCAAACACCGAGGCGCCGGGATGGTGCAGGTGGTCAACGCACACTCGTTCCAACGCGCGAGATCTCGCGCTTCTTTTTCTGGTTCACGAAAGAAGGCATTCTCTGTCTCTTAGCACGCTGATGACTGATGGCTTTTGGGGTTCCAACCCAAAGACGCTCCATTTATATATAGCCCTTTCCCAATTCCTCGAAAGCTAGAATTGGAAATCCCAAACGCGAGGATTCGGGTCCAGGCTTCCGGGCCACTCCGCCCATGCGCCGCCCGTCCACGTCGCGCCCGCCGAACGGCGACCGCCGGGCCTCCCCCGGAGCCCGTCGCCCATCGTCCACGGTGGTGGGCCCCACGACGAAGGCCTCCCGAGGGGCCTTAGGGCATCGAGGATGCATGGAGTCGGAGAGCTTCAAAAGAGGAAAACGGTTACAATCAACAGTTCTCAGAGACGGACGCTCCATGGGACTGCCATAGATGCCCATCAGATGGGGTGGTGCCAGGGGGGTCAATGTAGGCAGTCCCATGGAGTGGGGTTTATACCAGGACCCTGCGACTGAAAAAAGTCTCCATTTCAGCCACCATGTCGGAGAGCTATTGGAAGGTCCTGGTATAGAATATGGGAAATAACTGACTGTTTGGGGGGGCACAATAGAGGTGTTCTTTCCCAAAAGTCCGGAAAGTTGTGCAATGAAGTGACAAGAAAGACTCAGACATACTCGGACATGTGTTGAATTTCTGTTGTGCCAGTAATTACCCTCCAACAGGTCCTTGGTTGACCGGGGTTGTTGGGTCCCAACGGGTCCCGATTGGTGACTAGTCGCATGGTCCTAGTGTAACTCTGAGCTGGATCGACGGTTTCAGGGGAACACGCTCCGAGGCGTTCCGGGCCAGGGAGCCCGGGCGCGTGTGAGTGGAAGTAAAATCTTAAAAGCCCACCTCGTTGGGTCTGCGGATTTCATAGGGTCATCGGCGAAGTCGGTGGGCGTCGTCCATCCACGTTGGCCCGTTTTCGGTGACTTGGGAATGATAGAATACGCCGCGTGGCGGCCAACCAGCTCGGATACCTACGAGTTGAGTGAACCTCATGTTCTGGACCATTCGACTCAACAGGTCAACCACCTGAAAGTCTGAAGTCTTCAGTGTGAGAGACCTGTTGGAGGCTGCTGGATACACCCAAAATCTAAAAAAGATACATCATGATCAGCCAAATAACAGCACCCTCCAACAAGTGTTTCCTGGTGACAACAGGTGCCCAGAAACCACTTGTTAGGGCTCCAAAACATCCTGTTGGAGGGTCCCGGTATGTAGGTCTAGCATTGTACCTTCCCTATTTTTGGTGGACAAGTTCTCCTACAGCTCATCAAGTTGCGTCTATTGCTTCCAAGCGTCACCTGCATAGCCACGCGTGCGTAGTACCGTCTGGCACTTCAGGCAGTGGGCTTTGTCGTTCAGCCACTGGGGGAAACACTTGTAGCCACACTTCCTCATACAAGCGTCACGGTTGTCGATGGTGGTGAAACACCAAGAACGGAAGAACAACAGCAACAACAACAAAACCTTCCAGAAGTTCCAAGGAGGTGGTATGGAGGTGGTATATTATAGTCCTCTGGACCTGACTCTACAGGTCACCAATGGTTCGACCTCGTTGACCAGGGTCCTTCCCAACCCTCAACTAACAGCCTGGCCAGGAGGGTGCTGGTCCGCAGATTGCTATTTTTCATGAAACAGAGATGAACAAAGACCTGTACTGCACCTGCTGTACTGCACTTGGAATCCCAAGAAAACCCAAGGGTGGCTTCCGGCATGTTCCTTCACCAAAACCGCACAGGGTGGAGAGTTGAAGGTCTCGTTCGTCACAGTGAAGCAAACCAGTTCAATCCGTTTCACCCAAGTTCCGTTCAATCCCTAAGCCAGCAAGTGTCTCGCACATCATCTTCACGCGATCCTCCGCCATGGCTCTCCTCCTTTTCTCCCCCGGTCCGGGCACTCTGGCCCCAGGCTGGAGGACGCGGACGGACGCGGACGATGGACGTGTTCCACCCCAGGGCGGCGGCTCCGGCTCCGAGCCCGCCCAAATGGCTGCAGGGAGATCGGTGTTGAGAGGCGATGTCTGGGCCATTCCTGGGTCGCCAGCGGGGGAGGGAAGGGTGGGGAAGAAAAATCCGGTGAAGGCAAGAATCCCAGGCTCCTACCAGCACCCCCTGGCCACCTGTTGGGGTCTCCAAACAGCCTGTTGGAAGGTCCTGGTAGAAGATGTATGAACCCAAGAGATTGTGTAGAATGTATATAGAAGACGTTCTCTTGTGGGTGTCGGATGTTGGCTCTCTCCCACGTGACCGGGTCTGCCAGGATGTATGCACCGCACCAAGGTGTGCTTGAAAAATGCACCTGTGTATCTCAGTACCCACATACTCCTGCTACAAGTAACTTTCGGACCAATCGACCCCACTCGCAACAGAGTGAAAGTTCCTCGCAAACTATAGATCCCCTTTCTGCCTCACGGGCTGGGTTTTCTAGGTTGCCATGAGGAACCCTTCCGCATCGGTCATTCCGAACTCCTTGCCACGAGAACCAGCCTGGACTCCACACCCGGCTCCCACTGCTCCACCAGCTCTGTGCAGCCCGGGTGGACTCGCCCCTGTGCCTCACCCACGGTGTCCCGCAGCGCGCGGAAGGCCGTCTCGGCATCCTGTTTACCCGCGGATAGCCGCGGAATAGGAGCGGGAGCCTCCGAACCTGAAGGACCTTCAACTCAACATGTTTTCGGAGCATACTTGACCATTCAAACATGTGATCCAACATTCCTATCAAAGGTCAAAAGCTTGGTCCAAACCCATGTCAAAAACGGAGTTCCATTCGATCGAAATCGGAGAAACCCGTTCCCTAACTGCACCCCTCCTCCTGTGTTTGTTTGGGCCGAGCGAGAAAACCCGATCGAAGGGTGCCCAGTTCCAAGGGGTGTCCGGTTCCAAGGCACTGTGAAGCCGAGAAGGTCAGAAGGACCTTGAAAAATGGGAAGGACCTGGTTTTGTACTGTGAATTCCCCTTAAGTAAGACTTATATATATAATTATATATATATATATGCTTTTTTCAATCACTGGTGATTGGAATTCTAGGGTGTGTGGTCATTGTCTATAGATTCAAGGACCATTGAAGGAATGGTTGGCCTCTTTTTGCATTGTAGTCTCAAATCCTTAGTAAAAGCCATTAAGACTACCATCAAAACAATGGTTGGAATCGCAGGGCATTAGCCGAGTGCCTGGGAAAACTTTGTGACTTTGTGGGGCGAGAAGCGGCTGTTCGGGGCAGCTCCCTCGCTCAGCTGGTCCTGTGAGGTCTGTAGGGTCTGTGCTACCGGTACCGTTTTTTCGTACTCCAACGACGTTCCATCCGATTGGCTTTGGAGGGTCGGAAGGCTCCGCGGTTGCCGATGTCATGTCTGGTCCATGACCGATGTGATGAACATGTCAACAACTAGGCGTAGAGCTTTGCGAGACTTGAGATCTTCACTGGTCTGTGCCAGTTGAAGTTGCCCAACTTCTCACAATCAGAAGAACACCAAAAACGGGGTCCAAACAGGCCAAAGTACCCCGGCAAGACAGTCCATCGGTACCACAACCCACCCCTTGCTTCTCGACGCAAAAAGGCCTTTTTGGGGGGGGGCCATCTCCCTCACCCACCCATAAAACTGGCGTTTGATGGCTACATTGGTTCAAAAAGATGTGTTTTGGGTATAAGGACGGAAAAACCCACCTACTCATCTTTTTCGAATCAGTTCTGCCAGTCCCATGGAAGCGTCGTGCCGCAGAATGGGTGCCTGAGCAGCCTTCAGGGCATCCTCGAAGTTGCGGTTCATCAAATTCGCCTTGGTCAACCGCGACTGGCGTGTGGCCCAGGTCAAGGAACGTGGAGACCCGGCAGTTGAAGGTTGAAGCGTTTGATACGCGGAAGATGTAGATGGGTCGAATTCCGGCGAAAGGAAGAAGTGAAAGGGTACGTCTAAGACTATACCATGAGACAGCCGGCCCAAAGAGAATACCAATACCAAAAACCAGTCCAATCGACTTCTGGTTGAGCAAAGACCCCCTATTTAGTCAGTCAGGTGGCCAGAGTCGTCGCACCCCTGGAAGCAGCAGGGGGTTGTAGATACTAAATACTTGTACGTCGACATCAGTTGCCTACACCCTAGGCTTCCAGGCCCACCCTTGATTTCATAGCCTGAATCCCGAACCAGCAGCATTGTTTGACTAAGGATGTTAACACAGTTTACACTACAAAACCAGCTAGTTCCCACTTTTTGTCAGGGTCTTCACGGTTTCGGCATGTTCGTGGGAGAGGTCCACTCCCTTACGGGGTTCTTGACCCCGGGGGAACTGACTGGGAGAGACGACCGGGAGACCTACCAGGTGCCATGGTGACACAGCTCGCGTGCCAATCACCGGGCAAGCGGCATTTGCCAGGATGTGCATGCTGATGGCTGCTTGTTGCTTCTCACCCAGCTCCTGCCACGCCAATTGGTGCTCCCACTGAAGAAGGGCAGGTGCCATACCCAGTTCTGAGCCGTGGGACCCGGGTCTTGGAGGGTGGCCATACCTGGATCTTCAGCTGCCATTCATCTCTCAAACCACCCAAGTTCAGCAGAGATTCGTGACAGGAAGATCCAGGTCTTCAGGATCGATGAACACTCACAGGACCAGTCACTTACATGGACGTGGAGAGTTTCAACTTTCAACCACCGGTCGCCTGGTTGGGTCTTCGGATTTCATCCTCCGAGTCGCAATTCAGGGCCAATTTCCCATCCACGTTGGCCCATGATGAATTTCAAGTGTGATCTTCATGCAATGGTGTCCGTCCAACCCCCCTACTCTCACTAAGGGGTCTCCGAAGAGCTGCACACCGTTTGAAGACCAGGCGTTTCTTTACAAACGTGTGTGATCATTTCACGTTCGTTCGCACGTGCCTCATGAGGACAAGGTTCATAAAGCCATTGAATTGAGTATATATAGGCCACTATAGATAGTTCCTTTCTCGACTAGGTAGTGTTACTCATTCCCATCGGAGACTATAGATGGTGTTGCTTTTCCGTGGTTTACAAACGTGTGTGATCATTTCACGTTCGTTCGCACGTGCCTCATGAGGACAAGGTTCATAAAGCCATTGAATTGAGTATATATAGGCTACTATAGATAGTTCCTTTCTCGACTAGGTAGTGTTACTCATTCCCATCGGAGACTATAGATGGTGTTGCTTTTCCGTGGTGATCTGATACTATAGACCCTATAGAATTCCACGGGAAACATATGGATTCCACGGATGTTTTCAGTAACTCCTTTTTTGGGTCGCCCAGAAAAAAAAAAACAGTTGTTGATATGACCCAGACGCGAAGTCTCGACCCTCCGTTCAGGTGGGGGACACGAATCCTCGGGTCAGGGGTGTTTGGACCTGGACCAATCCCTATGGTTTTTGAGGGCCCAGTCGGACGGGTTTCATGGAGCCTCTGGGTATAAAGATGGACTCCCAGGGATTGGAGCTTGGGAGGTGGCACCCGCCACGGCTTGGCTTCTTGTACCAGGTGTCCTGGTAGAGCTGAACCGCCTCCTGTGACGCCTTCAGAGCTTCCTGGAAAAAAACGTCGTCGCGACGATCTCCCAGAGGTCAGGAACGGAGCTCTTACTGAAGCTGATCATACGTCGAAACACTGCTCCCAGGACCATCCAAGGGGTGTCCAATGGACTACCCTACACTACCCATAGGCTTCCATTGGGCACCCCTTGGATGGTCCAGGTCTGTTGTTTCGGTTTTCAGGACCAGGTCACTGGGTGAGACCAGACCTCTAGGGATGGCGAAAGGCGGCGATAGAGGCGGTGAAGAACGCGCCGCCAGAATGGACTGGGAGGAATTGGATTACAAGGAAGAAAGAATGGTTTCGATCAGCATTTCTGCTGTGGCTCGGGGTTCCAACTCTGGTCTTGGACCCACATGAGTTTAAGTGAGGAGAACGAGTGGATGGGAATCGTAAAACCTACCACTCCGTCTTGGTGAGGTCTGTCACCAAGTGGGCAGCTTAGGTCTTTTCAGGGGAAGCCACCATTGTTCGCTTCATTATGTGACCAATCTCAAGAAAAGAATCGTATACTGCAACGGTATACCGACCCAGGCGGTCCCCTCACATCGTCTTTGAGGCCAAAGCCCTAGGGATCCACTGCCACCCTCTGAGGTACCGTAATTGGAGGCACTCTTATGTAGGTGCCAGGAGGATCCGGTCGCACCGAACCTGAGAATGCACGACCGGATCCCTAGAGAAGGTCAATTAATCCTGGGCCTTGCAATTCTCTCATCAAAATATGGGCGTTTCGCCGATGAAAGGTCGCTGCGGAGTCTTCGAGTCCAAATCCAAAAGGCAGTCTTCTCATGGAGCTCAGCTGGCCCCTCTTTATGCGTCTATGGCCTTGCCAACCTTGGAGGAACGTATCCATCAGAATCCATCCGCTCACCCCTGACTCCGTAAGACCCATTAAAAGAACTCGGTTGACTCGGTCGTGTAGTCTAAAAACCTCACAGCAAAACCATGGTTGTTCGGGATTCAGGTTGATACAGTCCCTAAGAATCAAGGACCCTCAGTTCGCTGAAGGTTTTGAGCATCCAAACCCCTGCTATGCAGGGTCAAAACCCTCCATAGGAGGGTCCAATGATGCTTATAGGGGTATATAATGGTGGGTCAGGAATCGTAGTGCCACCCTCCAAAGCCCTGGCCTGTGGGTTTCCCATGCCAATGGAGGCCAGCGCGAAGTGCACGTCTGCCACCAGCTGTGCTGCCTCTGCCCGGCCCTTCTTGTCACCCAGCTTCCTGCACGCGGCCCGAGGGGATGACATCGGCCCTGGTGCCAAGGTCCGCCCAACGGCGGCACCGAACAAGCATCTCCCAGTCCCAAATCCGAGCACCAATGGACTGGAGCTGCTCAATCTTCCTCTCTTTGGAGACCCTCCCTGCAGTTTTGGAACTGACGGTTTGGGTGCACCAGCAGCGTCCGTTCGCCACCCGGTCGCGGGCGGCAACGACTCAGTGAAGTAGACTTGTT